ATATTTTACGCAAAACAACCGTACGTAAAGTAAAATTTTACTCTCTGGGTGGCAAAATCAACAACCATAAATAACCTTCAAGATAATAGTGTTAATTTTTTAGTGCAACTTCTCATATAATTATTCTATACATTACATAAACAGTTCGGCTAGGTGGGGTAATATTTTTTTTTGTTTTTAATTGAAACCAACTAAAGGTCCGTATCTTTTGAAACCTGTATTAACTAATAATTATTAGTACGTAAAATAACTATTAATTTTATAAGAAAATTATTATAAAATATATTAAACTACATAAGCACGAGTCGAATGCTAGAATAAAAAATCATCTATAAGTTTTTTTCTTGATGAGCTCAAAACCTTCGACCTGATGAAGACTTGGGTTCTCATGAGGTTCCTACGGTATGCAAACTTAGTATAGATGGCGTACTGGAGCTAAGAGAAAAATTACTTTACATTGACAAAAATGTTAAGATGTACTATCCATGCATGATTTCCTAACGTCAGCGTGACAGAGATGAGGTCACAAAAGTACGTCCACATTACCGTATATTGTCGTCACTTATAGTAAAAGTGTGTCAATGATGTCATTTTTCTCTTAGCTACAGTACGCCATCTATACTGAGATTACTGACCGTAAGGACCTCATTTGTTTGCTAGTTAGTAAAGTACTTACGCCTGCGAATGATTAATCTAGCAATGGGTACAGTTTAATTTCTGGGAAAATAATGATAGAGAGGTGATTCTATTAAAACTTGTCTGTATACTGCAAAAATAGCTCTCTGATTTTTTGTGGACATCTTCAAGTATGTATATCATACACACACTATAAACTTGGTCAGTCCTGCCACACTGTCATTTAGTATTTCATTGGTAGTTTATATATTTAAATGAATTAAAATAGGTCGAGGGTGCGCGAATCTGAAGTAGTTTGATTTTTATCACGAATCATATGAAGTGCCGTTACTTTTTATTTTTTCTAGCTATCGTTCTTTAACGCTACTTATAGTCAATACACATGTTATTTTTGCTGCATTTTTTTAATATTTGAAAGATGTTTTTTTTTTTTCAATATCTTTACCACTATCTTTTATTTATGCTATTTCTCTCTCTTTCTCTCTTTCTTCCTCTCTCTCTCTCTCTCTTTCTGTCTTTTACTTGCCATCATTATTTTAATTTTTTTTTTACGATGTATATTTTTGAAATTTTTTCATTATTTTTTTTTTATTGCATCATGCCGCTGAATTTTTCAGCTTTATACTAACTTATTAAGAGGAGGCTGAAACGATAAATAAGTGAACTTTTTTTTCATCAGGGCTGGGCAAGCTTATAGTTGATATTACGAAGCTTTCAGTAGTGGCGAAAGCAGAGACTGTTTCTTTCTTGCTTATTTTTGCCAAGCACATGTGTTTCGAATTTACTCTATTTATTTTAATGAACACAAACCTGAAACAGAAAATCTGAAGTTATATTTTGACACGTCATTCTTAGAAAAATAAAGGCAAGTACTTGCACACGTTAAAAAAAAAATTTCTTGCAATAATTCAAAAAGTATTCTTTATCGTGCTTTCACCTATTAATGATTTTGCTGTTTTTATCATGATAATATAAATTTATAAAATGCGAACATTATTTGTTAATGCAGTAGTAATTGATCAATATATTCAGAAAAAAGAGATCAAATTTTCGGTTGCGAGGATCAAACTACGTTATGGGTGTATTGTGTGTACGCGGTGCAAAATCGTAATTAATATACATGGAATCACTGATTATTCAAATTATTGCTCTAATGAACCATTTCTACAGAGAATTGATGAATATTTTATTGCTCAGATGAAATATTGCTTCTTTGCTTCAGCTAACATTTGCATGGCTTGTACAAATAATGCTTTGTCGGCAAAGATGAAAAGTAAAAAAAAAACAATGAAACGAAAACAACACACTTATTATATGCTAAAAACCATGAGACGCATGTTTGTCAGCGAGAAAGTTAAATTTATGTTCAAAACATCAATCAAGTAATGATCGACTTTTTAACGAAAAAAAAAATAAATTGTTTGAGCAAAATGGTATTCTTAACAAAATGCATGGCCAATAAACGTAAGGTACGTCGGAATCGCCAAAGTTCAACGCTGCCATATTATCATTTTGCTCGAAACGCTTCTTTTCGGCAACCGGAATGGACTAAAGTACTACGCCAAAGGTATTAAGTATGGCACTTCATATATTCGTCGTTAAGGAAGCACCATCGTGATGTGGTATTGCTGTTATATTCTGCTACGTATTGGAAGATAAGAAGATTAAAAAAAAAAAATATATATATTGTATGAAGCCGAAAGCACCAAATGATTACGTGATAAAGAAAGGAAAAAGAATGTTGCAATAAAAGATTTAAAAAAAATTGAGCTACAAGTACTAATTAATTAATTGCTTACATGAATAGCACTATATTGCTAAGCTAGTCGAGAGACGAAATTGCATACAAGAATCACATTCGCGCTGTTTTGATACGCGAAAAATGCACTTAAGACTCTCACAAAAATGGACGCGTCTGTTATTTGTTAAGATTGTCGACTATAATATGTTAATATTGCTCATCGTGACTTGTGACGCGGTAAAGAAGTGCCATGCTGTGAAATTCTCTGTTATCCGAACAACTGCCGTCCAGGCGTGATGCGTCCTCGGCTTACACAAACTCAGATGCGGACCCGATCGATCGACATCATCGTAAAATCATCAATGGCATTGTATTTTTCGGGTGTTGGCTTTGTTGCTAAATATCATTACCAAGTATCGATTGATCTTCGACTATGTTGTTGTCGTTATTTTACGATGGTACGATTACATGCAAGCAAAAAAGCAAAGCAAGAATAATAATGATAATAACAATAATAATAATAATTTAATAAAAAAATTCAACGCAAGCGTTTTTTAATCAAGAATTTATGATAAAAACGTGCAAAGATAAAAAGCGCAAGGAGAAAAACATCCTGATTTATGACTTGATGCCTTAAAAATAGTTTTTCATATTTTACTATTTTTTTGTTCCTTACTTTCAAAATCGATTTTGCACCGATCCGCACGCCACCAATTATAAATGTGTTTTCGTGTTGATTAACCGGTCTGACAAACAAAGAATAAATCGATCCTTTTCTAGATACAAGCGAGACTTTGCTCTCAAAAAAACTAAGAAACTGAAATGTGCTGTGGTTTTTGTCACCCAATCATGTAATTGAACTCGCTGTATCGAAAAAATTCAAGAGCAGGTTTTCATTTTTCGATAGATCTTTGCACAACCATTGATCGTAATAATGATGAAAAACATTCAATCAAACGTGCTAGAAGAAATAGACAAAAACAATTTTAATCACAGCAAGACAATAAAAAAAATAAAACTAACTAATGCCAAAGGGAATGTTGAAAAATGAAAACTCGCGTCCTGTACAGTGGCCATTTATGCAAATCCAATGGAATATTTTCACAGCTGATCACGACCAGTCGGTTTGACTCTCTCTTTCTATCTCTCTCTCTCTCTCTCTCTCTCTCTCTGTCTCTCACTATACCACGTCTGACTTCGTGAAAGCCATCATCATTCACCATTCGCTACCCCCAACCGCCCCTCTACTTGACGTCTTTACCAGTGACGCTTTTTCGATTCACCCCAGCTGGTGTGGACCAGCAACTTTCCTCGCCCTAGCCCCAAACCCTTAGCCCCATGTGCGAGAAAATTAGAAAATAAAAACCAATTCATATTTGATAGCATGGACTCGATTGTGTCGGGCTCGAGGCATCTACTAAAATTTCTGTTCACGAAATAGATAATCTATTCCACGCTTTTAATTCCAAACCACCATGACCCTGACCTTACTTTTTTATGACATGAAAGCTTACCCTTAACACTTTTATAGATTAAGCTCCAAGCATGGGTTATTCCATGGGGATTTTCTTAATTGTTAACGATGTTATAAAACATATCGATCGTTTATTTATGTGACTGAAGCGTAAAAGGAGTGTCGAATCTTTTAAGTATTTTTGTTTTATCTTACCATTTAGTAAGTGTTCTACGGTTGTTTAAAGCAGAGTGTTTTTCTTGTTCTTTCGTGTTTACATTTTTTTTAATATTTTTTTTTTTTTATGTTGATACCCATATTTACCTGTCATCCCGATGATTTACGTTGGCAAAGATTATTTTGTTATTTGTTTGTAGAGAAAAATCAAGTACTACGAAGAGTCGTTGTGACAGTGACTTAATCGATATACCTGTTGATGATAAGTGTACATTTATGTAGCCAACAGTCAGCTATACTTCAATGTCGCATCCATATCGTTGGTCTACGTCACTAATCGTTCATATACTATTTTATTACTTCGTTCACGAATGGCTATAAAGTCCATGTCGTACAATCCTATCCCATGTTTCGTACATCCAGTACTACTTTCATGATTTTTCGCAACCAAGACATTATCTGCTCATAATATCCATTCTTACTCTCATTATTTCTTTTACTCATTGTAACCCTGCACTGTCGCACTCTTTTGCCTGACAATTTCTCGAAAAAAGCTGCTTTGAGTACCTGCAGAGGCAGAGTGAAAAGAAAAAAACATGCTTGTTGTGTTTTGATCTTATTTCTATGTACGGCTACGTTTGTGAGATTTATGTGTTCCTTTTTTTTCTACTAACCATAAATACCACTTTTATGTATTATATAAAATCAACACCTTGTTGTCGTGAACAAATATAATTCGTGTTCCGCTTCAGCCTTGAAAAAAAATACATTCCTGAATATGATTACAATAAGATGCTTTGACGTTTTATTTTTTTTTTATTCCTCAATAGCCGATTTTAGTGTAGAGCACTTTACAATTTCCAAATTTCCAAATCAACTTGAATGCTTATCAACCTTACAATATTCCAATCAGCTTTGAAATATGGTAGATTGGCTTCGCTGCTCATTGTCAATGAACCAAGATCACATAATGACATATTTCTTTATTTGTAGATCGCAGACTTAAACAGTCAGGTCAATGACCTTCGAGGAAAATTGTGAGTATTACATTCTGTTATTATAAATTTTTTCTACCAAGCTATGTGAAAATTGTATATTTTTCTTATCAATCTTTTAAACTCATTACGAGTGTCATGATCTCAAAATGAACCAAGAAAACTATGTTACAAGCTTTACCTCGTGAATTTAAAAGATTGATGACAAAGTTGTTGCTTACGAAAAGAACTTTTAACAGTCCTTAAAAAAAAAACTTCTTATGCTCTGAGGTAATAAAAATTTTCTAAATGTAAATTGAAAAAATTAAAGAAAATGGGTAAATTAGAGTGTTTTGTAAAATCTTTCGATTGTCTTAATAAGCTAGTATCAATACATTCTATGTATACATATTTAATACATGTCGTATGTGGTTTGGAATGTAAAGTAAGTTGTCCCCATTGTTTTTAGGCCTATGGCAGTAGAAAATTTATACACTGTAATACAAAAAGGTAGAGCTATGTAAATCAGCATCTCCCAAGGGATGTTAAACGAAAGATAATGAAGTATACTGATTCTTTAAAAGGTTTATTAAGGTATACAGGTTTTCCTTAAACATAAAAATCGTGCCAATAGTCACACATCAAACATTTGTTTATGCGTATGTCACAGACTGTGTACCACATTCTTGGAGTGATAAGATAGTTAAGTACAAAAAAATCTTAAATTACGGGAGCAGCATCGCGACAACGTTAGAAAAGAGCTTCTTTTCTTGACTTAATTAAAAAAAAAGAATCCTTCTGTTGTAAAAATTATATAAAAACAATGACACTAAAAAATTGCTCGAACACTCGCGTCTCTTGTCTTAGTTTAACGCCTTCTCCTGTTGTGACTGTACTTTTAATTTTTATTACCATAACTTTTCATAAATACCCCCATCCTTTTTGTTTCACTGTAGCATGAAGCCAACTTTGAAGAAGGTCTCAAAGTACGAGAACAAGTTCGCTAAGCTGCAGAAGAAGGCGGCTGAATTCAACTTCCGCAACCAGCTCAAGCAGGTCAAGAAGAAGGAATTTACCCTTGAGGAGGAAGATAAGGAGGTAAGGATGATGCGAATTCATTTTCATTTCATACCTTTTACACAGTCAACACTGTGTACTTATGTACATTTTCATCGTATATACTTTTCCTTCCGTTTGGTACTTTTTTTTCCTTTGATTCTCTGACACGTCGTATTCTCTTTCTTTGTGGAAAGAGAAGAGGATCTTGGTTCTCAAAGAGATCCTCTCAAGCGCGCTCTTTTTTCTGCCCTTCCGTACTTCAGACAAACGGAAATGTCGCACCGAGAGACTCTGGAATATAAATTTTATCGATCAACTAGAGAATATTATTTTTTGTTTATCTGCTTTATTTACTTTCTATTCTTAAGTGGCATAATTTCTGTGGTATTTCAGTAAATTTTTTTTTAGTTTCAAGATTAAAACACTTTTGAATAATGTGGTGGCGTAAAAAATGAGTTTTGTGGGTGTAGATTGAATTCGCATACATATGATTTCAAATATGTAAACCAGATTAGATATCACGCAGAAAAGAATAACAGGAATTTTTACCGTAAAAGCAATGGTAATCGTGTGATAATTTGTCATTACGTAAATTTTTACCGTAGATGTTCATGAATTTTTACCGTAGTTTACAGTAATTTTTATGGTAACTGTAAAATTTATCCAAAATTCACTATAATTTTTACTGTACGGCAACGGTAACATTTCCTCTGAAAGTGCATATAGGCTGCATGGTCACGTGGGCTGTAGAGAAGGGCTGACCAGACGTCTACTGTAGTGGGCTATATAACCTGTATGAGAGAACGAGATAGACGTAACATCTGTATTACCGAAATCAACGTATAGATGAAAGTACGGGTATCTTTTATGAATGGCTATAAGCGAAGGAGTACTGAATCATGTGTCCAACAATTCGTTAAGTACCAATTCTATTAATGCAAATATCCGCACAGGTCTACAATTTGTAGGTTAGTCCGCGCTTTAGCAGACAACTGATCAGGTGTTCGGCCTTCCCCTCCAGCCAACGTGACCCTGTAGCCTATAGCTAAATATACTCTTTCAGGGGAAATTTTACCGTTGCCGTACAGTAAAAATTATAGTGAATTTGGAATAAGTTTTACAGTTACCATAAAATTTACTGTAAACTACGGTAAAAATTAACGTAATGACAAATTTTCACAGGATTACCGTGGCTTTTATGGTAAAAATTCCTGTAATTCTTTTCTCCGATGGATGGAAAATGTATGATAAAACTTCATTGATTATAGATGTAAACCAAAAGCGTAAATTGTAGACAGACTTGTATTTCTCGGTCTCTCGGTGATTCAGATAATTGTTTTTTGTGTTCATTTTTTTTTAAAAACATAGGATTGACTCACAATTTTTTATATTTTGTGTTTATCCGTATTTGTTACTTCTCACAGTTCTAAAGAGGATCATTTTTTTAACAAGAAAGATCTCTCGTTAAATGTTGGTAACACGTTTAATACTTTCTGGCCTTTTTAAGGAATCGCTCGAATACAACTGTGATATTAAAATTTTTTTTGCATCTAATGTAAAAAAAAGTATGATTTAGCAAATAATTTGACATTATTGGTGTAATTGAAGTTTTTATTTTTTTATCATTGTATGAGATTGTCATACTATTCACTGAACTATTTTGAATATATTTTCTTTTATAGTAAGTGAAAATATATACACTCATAAGCGATAGCAACAACTCCCTTGATCACAAAGAGTTTTTGTTTTTTTTTATTCCCTTTTTTTTTTACTTATAATTTCTTTCTGTCTCTCTTTCATTTAATTTATACCTTTTTTACTTATGTATATTCCGTCACTCCTACTCTCCATTTGTTTCTCTTCTTTCTCTTTCTCTCTTCTTCCCTCTTTTTTTCGCTACTTCTTTCTTTCTCTCTTCATCTCTCTCTTTTTCTGTCTTCTTCTTTTCTCTCTCTTTAATTTTTTTCCTACCTCTCTCACTCTTTCGCTCTCCACACACACATACACCCATCTTTATCTCTTTCTTCACTTCTCTCTTTTTCGTCTCCATGTTGATATTTTTCTTCTGATTTTTTCTTAAGTTTCTCTTTTCTTTTCTTTATCCATACACTTTCTATCTCTCTACATTTTGTACATGATTTTAGAGATTTCCTTTCACTTACTATAAACGGAAATTCTTTAAGAAAATCTAAAGAATGCAAGAGAAATGATAAAATAATTAACCTTCAAAAGGCTGCACATCAATAAATACAAGTAGGATAGTTTTAGTTTACTAGGCAATGTGTTATTCTCCACAGCCCAAGAAGTCCGAGAAGGCAGAATGGCAGACGAAGAAGTAGATTACAAACAAACAACCTCAGATCACTCGAAAATAATTTATTTAAAAAAAAGTAATCGAAAAAAAAAGGAAAAAGAATTTTCGAGTTGAGTGATGTTACAAAATCATCCAAAAACGTCAACACTCACTCACACGTATACAATACTCAAGTTAATCACACGCTGGATCCATATATTTTTATTACGTTTTTTCCACCAGTATCGTGTGTTTCTATTGATTTTTACACACTACAATGTTGTCGCGATTTAAACAATATTGAATAAATAAGTGTAACTTTTGTTGAACCAGAAAAAAGAAGTCGTATATAAATGTTACGTTACAAATTTTGATAATAGTCAAACTGTCATCTCGAATAATAAATAAGAATAAATTTAATACATATAACTTCAGCACTATTTACCTTTTATTGGTATTAATATTTTTATAAATGTATAAAAACAGCGTTTTCTTTTTTTGTAGATGATATTAGAATTTTTATTTTTGCTTAACTTTTTGACGTTTTTTATTTATTCAGGAATACATTTTTTGACATTTTTACAGCCTTCGTGAACATGCCAATCTGCCAGGATTTATATGTGTATTTTTGTAGTTTTTGACAATATTTTTGTTCAACTGTTCGTAAATTTTTTTATGTTTAACCATCTTTTTTCTACTACTTGTATTTTTTCAATTAAAATTCGTGGTTTTTGCCTGGTAAGAAAGTTTTTACTTGTTCGTATTTTTGTGAAGAATAAGTGTATCCATTGTTCTTTCCACGTCTACATACTACTTTTTATCTGTTGCTCTAATATATGTACTTAATTAATCATTTTTAATTAATGCAAAATCAAATTCAATCTTTAGTTGATTTTCTGTTTTCAAACTTTATCTAACAATTTTCGTCAACGTCTAAACTTTTTTCTATTCTTTCCGTTAACAATAAATAAAAAAAGTTTTGATCCATCTTATTTATTTGAAATGAGAAAAAACTTTGAAAGAGATAAAGTGCCGGTAAAAAGGTGAGATTTCCATTGCAGTGCATTAAACTTATTTAAGTATTACGCGCTCCATCTTACAAATTAAAAAAAATAATCGCAGAAGCGCTTAGCTCACTCTTGCTTTCCTTTTATACACTCTCTTGTATCTGTTTGATAACTTTATTTACGATCATTTTTAATCTAGTTTGATTTAATTTGAATAAAAAAAAAAAGTCCCACTCCTTGCCTATTTTCAGTTCCAGAACCAAGTGACATTCATGTGTTTTATTTGCCTTGATTTTCATATTTCAATTCAGGAAATATAGGTTATGTTGTATTTACCACAAAAACCTTTCAAAAAATGTACAACTTTGGCAAATATTTGAGAAATTCAATGTCAAACTAAATTGAATGGAAAGAGATCGTAAAAAAAGCTGTCTTTCTTGCGCGTGCGCGCAATTTCAAAGCTGAAAAAAATCAAAATTTCGACAAAAATGACATAACACCAATACTAACGGCATAACCGTAGCAGATTTTAGTTTATCAATTATGTACACGTGCAAACACCAACTCCATACATGGAAATTTTTTTTTTTTTTTCACTACGTGTAACCAGATAATTCATATTACTTTTCAGTGTACTCTGCTGCCAAGTTTTTCGATCATATGTGAGGAAATCAACAAAAAATATTCCATTTTTGTCCCCTATTTTAATAAAAAATTTTTTTTTAAGCACAACCTTTTAACCAGGGTCATTTCAATCGTAGTATCATGTACTATGAGGAAAAAATTTTGAACACCGGTTTCAGTAAGGGTGACACCTTTTTTCTGCAATTTATATGTTAAAACTATATCTGTACTGATGATGTGCAATTATATAATTCAACATATAAATCGCGGAAAAAGGGTGCCACCCTCACTGATGCCCGGATTCAAAATTTTTTCCACATAGTATATGACATTACGAGTAAAATGAGCCCTGTCACGAAGGTGTGCTCCAAAAAACTTTTTTTTACTAAAGTGGGAGACAAAAACGGGATACTTTTTGTGGCTTTCGTTGTATATGTGCGCTGAAATTTCATCCTGATCATCTTTACATATAAATTTAAATACTTTGTCAGGGAATAAGTTTTATAGATATAGAAATTGCAATCTTACTTAGGTCAAATACTATCTCTATATAACTTGGAAATATCAGTTTAGATTTTCTTGTCACGCTTTAGTATGTGTATGAATTTTTTTTCATGAAATTACATATTATATGTTGTATTATAAGTATAAAATATGTACAACAGTAATTCAATACTAATGTAACTGTAAAAGAAATTTCTAGAAACAATTTTTTAATTTAACAGTCCCCCAAGTACTGTACTTTTCTAATAATCATGAGAAAGATGTATTCATGATCCTGTATAGTAATAGATTTAGATGATACTAAATAAATCACGGAGTTTTTGATGGCACATAAAAACATCAAAGAAAGCTGCAATCACTTCTCCGTTGAATTTAAAAGCTTTGTAAAATAAAAAAAAAATTTCCTGTCTTGTCTGACGTCGACTAATGTTGCTTAATGTTTGCAGAATGCATCGAAAGATAAGGTAAAAACCTAAAACAGAAGATTTTTAGATAAAAAAAATTCAGCTAGTCGGTCGATTAGGCGCGAATGTCTGCTTGCTTGTATAGCTTAAGCGCTTTGTACAATATAGCTGTGTTGTGATAATATGTCTCTGTCTTTTTGTAATATTAATCGTACACGATTACACGTTCCTTTTGTTATTCCCACAAGTTTTAACAAAACTAACACTAGTTAAGGTTGACTTTATTGTAGATTCCTCTCAACTTACATGAATATTTGAACTTTATTTCTATACTTTTTATCAGCACCAATATACTTACGTTTCTGTTGTTCTTTACTCTCACGATTTATGCCAATTACAGATTGATCTATACACTAACTATAAAATTTGTAGTTATCAACTCAAAATATCAAATAAATGTTTACCAAAAATAAAAAAGAATGATTTGAAATCTTTATCAATTTCTTTACGTAGCTTTTTAGTACCTGCGAAAGAAAATGGTTCTGATAAATGCAAATCACTCAATATGCATTTATTGTGTTGATTTAGTTATAGAAGCCCCAGTTGTTTTATTAGTACTATAACTCAATTTAGATACACTTAAAACAGATTTAGAATAATTAGTTGCAACACACACGAAAAACATATGATTGGTAATAAAAAATTCGAAACTAATGATCGTTCGATTTGCATTTGCAGAAAAAGCCCGAATGGTCCAAGAAGGGAGACGAAAAGAAGGTAAAGGAAGAGGAAGCGGCGGTTGAGGCATGAGAACCGTGCTACCCAGCATCCAACTTATACCTCGAACACACAAAATCACACAGACACACAAATCACAAACCGTTCCATTTGCAACCGAAAACTCGATGTTGGAGCGATAGTCACACTTTTTATAACCTATTGCACGGATCGGTCCCTTTTATCAATTTTTATTTTCAGACTATACCAAAGAAAACTGTCGCTGACCGTGATATTTTGTTTAACTATACTACACTCTGATTCTGTAACCAAACAAACGAACCAAACTTTTACTTGTTTTTGATTTTTCCCTGGACTATTTTTGAGCTGTTTTTTTCCAGCTAAAATTTTTTCGTTTCTCTACTAAAATTCCCCACGAGAATGTATTTTATTTTTTTATGTCACCTTGAATTAATATTTTTAATAAACGAAAAAATATTCCATACACACCTTGAAACCTTTGTCTGTAACTATCAAAAGAATGTATGGTGAAAATAACCTAAAGATTTTCGGTTCAGATCCTGCTTGCGATCGCGTGTTTCGTAAGTGCATCAGAAGGAATGATATTTAAGTTTTATTGTAATTTTGAATGAAATAATAATCGACAATGAACAATGCTTTGTATAAATGTAATCTTCCAAAGTGTTATTTATTATTTTCAACCTAAAATTGTGTCCTGTATACCCATTCTCAAAACAATAAATAAATCTTGTGTATTTTTAATACTCCATAATTTTCTAAAAATATTCCTTTGAACTTCTGAGTGTTTACTCCTAAAATTCGAATGATTTTAAATCGATAAAAACTAATACATATGCTGTTTATCTTTCAAAATGATTACTCCTTACTCTAGAGACCATGAACTGAAACATTAAGCGTTCAAATATTATGTTTTTAGAAGAAACCTAATAATCGACTCTTTTTTAAAGCTTAATTTTTTTTTTTCAGTATATGTAACAAATCTATTTGAAAATAGTCTTGAAAATTTTTTTAGTATTTTTGGGAAACTTATTGCAGGAAGTTTTGCGGAACAATTTGGATTTTAAAGAAAGAATGAAACGTTGTTTTAAAGTGAAGACAAAAGGGTAAATTAAGTACAGCTAAGTATATAAGTAGTGTTAAGAATTATCTACTTTCAAACAACACCAAATTGTTTTCTTTATGAGAGCCTCTAAATTGTTTCACAAAAATTCCTAGACACCTCTTAAGGAAAATTAAAATTTTTCTTTAAATTATCTACACATTTGCTCATTAAAAGTAAGTATTAGTAAGTAAATATAGTTAGGTTCAAGAAACGGCTTAATTCGGAAAATTTTTTCAAGCAATACATGTCATTCTGAGTTTCTAGGCTTCAAGGGTAATCTTCTTTGAATATAAGCTCATTTCTAAATTATTATAAACATTTAACCATTTATTTTAATTTTAGGAGCAAGCATTCTTAGGTACTCTCTTTTATGTCAGTGAACGGTAAGATGTATTAGTAAATTTGCAATTGTATAGTTTTCGAAAGATTCATCATAAATCGGATTCTCTCAGACTATTTATAAGAATAGCATAAATAACAATAATTTTTTATGGGCAAACACAAAATTGATGCCAAAAAAAGGAGGATCCTTACAGAAAAATTTGTCATCTTACAATTCACAAAAAAATATTAGACTTTGCAAAATGTTATAAAATGAACTTTAAACTTTAAAAACCAATTATATTCCAAATAAACTGCATG